TAAAGATGAAGCCTAGTGTCTGTATACATAAGTACCTCAAAAGATAAAGAAATTCTCGCTTAAATCATTATGTAAAAAAGTACATCTGTAAATCCACATGTAAATATGCAGATAAGTACATGGGGCGGTAAATAATTAATGGCTGTTGTAAGTCGATAAGTTATTGATCGAAGGGGCGAAATTTACGGCACTTTATTCTCAACAGCAGGTGTAGTTGCGATACGACTATGCTAATGATGTAGTGGCAACGGGACTGATAAAAGACCTTGTTAGATTTTTGAGCTAACTCTGTCTATGAGAAGGATGGGGACCGTATATATTTCTCCCCAAGGATAATTGCGAAGGCCATCAAAGACTGTTAAGAATGTAAAGGTTCGTATGTGGTACTAAGCTTTGCTTTCTTTTGATATCTCGAGAAGTTTTCATATTTCCTTACATTTATTTAGCTGCTAGTACAGGTAAGTCATTCAGAAGCGAGAAAGTAAATGATTACGTAAGTGAGTAATAAATGAACAAGTTTATAATTGAGCCCATTTATGAGTAGCAAGGAGATGAGTGATTTAATGAGTACAAGATATGGATAAATGAGTAAATATTTAAGCGGGTAATTAATTTATAGCTGCTGAAAAGTGATTTTACCTATACACTTGAGCAATTAATGAAATTCAGCTAATTTTTGGACCATCACCCTTTAGCCAGCCAAAGTCAGAGGAAAGCATTACAAAATACTGAATAGATGGCAACGCCTTTGCATAAGACAATGGTAAAATTATCTTGACATGGTAACTGATAAATTTTGATTTTGAAGTTTTGATAAATTTTGAACGAAAATTTTGATTAATCAGAGGAAGGTGCCAATCTTTACATAATTTGTTAAATTCTACTAGTGATAAATTTTTTTCTGATTGGTAACTGGATGGAACTGGAGACGAATAACTGAAAGCATTGTCGATGTCAAGAGATAAAATTACTGCTTTGGAATTTAGCCCTTACACAGCAAAGAGTGACATGACTGTATATACGGTATCCACGGCGAATCTTAGTATATAGCAGATGTAATTTTTAATTCCTGCCAGAATTCCAGTTAGTTCACTTCTTTCAAAATTTTGTGCATCACTGTAAAGAAACCAGTAATAATTAGTGGATGAAGTGTTATGCATGTTCAGGCTTATTGAATTCGCCATTTTTTCATAATCGAGAGGTTGGAAATTGTAGCGTTTCGGAGCCTTAATTGGTGACACTCGATTTGATCCCTCGGATTACCTTCCTTATTTCTGCCACTGTTTAGGGAGAAGATGGCACAGGCGTATGATTTTGCGTTGGAGAAGGTCGGCTTGGACACATTGAGCTACCAGATCTACGCGGATTATATCGCATTTTTGAAATCAGTGTGAGTAGTGGCTGTCGTCTCTGTTATTGTTCGCGTTCGTCCCTTATGATTTACGGTTCATTTAAGGCCAGCAGTCGGGTCGTATGCAGAGAATCAGAAGATCAGCGCAGTGAGAAAAGTATTTCATCGAGGAATTGTCACACCGCTGTTCAACATAGAGCAAATCTGGGGAGAGTACTGCACCTTTGAGAAGGTACTTAACCGCATATTTTAAGCTCCGCCTGAAAATCCAAAATACTGTAACCCAGTATTGTTATAGAGTGTAGCAATAAATCTATTCCATAAGTAACAAGGTTAAATTGCTTATAATCCTAGAATAGTAGATTTATTTTTTATGATTCTTTCGGCACATGCTTGTTCGATTATCATTATATCATTTTGAAAGCAAAGCCATAAATGTCATGTTGCATTACCTCTTGATAAAGGAACATGATGCTGGTGCCGAAATAATCCTGGTAAATAGATTCCATTCCATGCCATTCTAGTGCTACATTCGTTTAATCTTTTTGTTTATCTGCTTCCGGGTAATGAGATTCAGCAGTGGCCTATTTCATAACTAGCAGGTTTTTTTAATTGAGCGGAGAGTATGAGCATTCGGTTCTCACAGTTCAGGCCAATCACTCTTCATCGTCTGTGAGAATCAATTTATTTCAGAGTTTATTTTGAACTGAAACGTCATTGAAATGTTAATAGTTCATCCAAAATATTCTAAACCATTATCTGTATGCAAGTAAGAGTAAAAGTTCATTTTTTTGGTAGGAGGTCTATATGTTAGTGCCTGAGCATATCCATTTAAATTGCATAATATTCTGAAGTCCTTATGGAAGTGTGTCGCTTTATTGGCAGAAGCAGAAGTTACTGATATCAGTATGTTTGTAAAATTGTATCTGTGGAGTGCATGAAGTGCGGTTCGTGTACCTTTATTAGCGGTTCGTTGAAGCTTACCACTGCTAAGTTTTCGAGCTTCTGGTGATGAATCGTTCTACTTTTTGGTACACTAATTTCTCTCAAAAAGGTAGATCGCACAATAATTAATTATATTTTGTTCCGGACACCAGAATCTTTCCGTTTTGCTTTCTAGGCCGAACATACTGCTCGTATATTGACTGTTTAAGAACTTTTGTCTGTATTTCATGATTGCTTCATTTGGATGACCTATGTGTATCACAGCTTTCTAATCAATGAAACATTCATTTCAACCCGCTTCAATGATGTTTTGTAATTTCTGTTTATTTTTTTCATTTCATTCTTCTTATTTGAAGAGCGTCAACTCGGTATTGGCTGAGAAACTGATTGCTGATAAGGGCCGCGACTACCAGAATGCACGGCGCGTATCGAAGGCGATGGAAAATGTGACTCGTGGCCTCAATCGAAACATGATATCCGTGCCCCCACGAGGCACCCCTCCAGAGATGAAGCAGGTCGACTTGTGGAAGAAATACGTGCAGTGGGAAAAGAGCAACCCACTGCAGACCGAAGACTATAGTCTGTACACCAGGAGAGGTAGCTTTTCAGCGTTCATTTTGTTCGCCAAAGATTGAAAAACGCGTGAACTTTGTACTTTGCAGTTGTGTACGCCTATGAACAGGCCCTCTTGTGCCTTGGATACCACCCGGATATGTGGTACGAAGCGGCAGTCTTCATGCAGGAGGCGAGCAAGTCTTTGGCCGAGAAAGGAGTATGTATTTATTGACGATTAAATAACAGAAAATATTTTTGCGGTTCTGACTACACAAATTCCCCCTCTTGGATCTTCTGCATAAATAATATCAGTGTGAGGTGCCATATCAGATAGATCATGTCATTTAATGCCAGAAAGACGACCATTCTGTTGACAACCTGGAACGATTTAGCATTCAGTTATGACTTTTATAGAAGAATCCGAAGAGTAATTCGTTCATGCGTTGGTAGACATGTTGAAAAAATGGCGTAAACCACGGTTTACTTATACACAGTGCCAAAGATACTTTAGTCAGTCTGGTGACTGCCCAATACACTACCGACGTTTCTTGGCCTTCTGGCTTCGAAACTGTTAACTGTTGCAGACGATCATTTATATTCATGCAACACCTAACCACCAAAATACCTTGAAGAAGGCCTTGAGGCATGGGTCGAAACGACGGTATTGTTCAGTCATCGGAAGAACAGAAAAATGCTCGTTTTGCTATGGATAAAATTTTGTGTAATTGGGAGGTAGTTGGGTATGAGGTGGGAGATATGTGAAAATTTATATAAGCCATTGGTTAAACCTACAAAATACATTCATCATTTCCTTGTTATATGATGTCTGAAATGTTTGTTTCATTTCTTTTATTTTTGCAGCCCTTTTAAAGCTGGCGACCGGCAGAAGTACATTCTCAGATTTCAGCAGAAAAGGATAAATTGCATCAGCAGTAAATATTAACCATTAAGGACTTAAAATGCAAACATTGAATCGTGTCAAAGTCAGCTGAATATACCCGTTTATGCATTAATGGTCACGTAAAATAATCTAAATTTCATACTATATGGTTTTGTTTAAAGAGGACCAGTTTTCAAACAACCATTACTGAATTCCCATCAGTCAAGAATAACTCACTAAAAATAGGTTGAGATTACAATGGACAGAAAAAACACCGGGACTTGGACCCTGAACGGGTTGTCGAGTAATCTTTCTCGTGTAACTCAAGAAGAGGAGCCTGAAGGAGGATATATATATATGCTCTTTTTTTAAAGTAGCAGTTGGAGATGCGCCTCGATATCCTCGCTTCCATCGGTCCGAACTATGGTGGCGGTGGCGTGTTGCTAAGTTCGACTGGTCAGAGACTGTTGAGAATCACAAGTGCTAGGCCGCTGAAAGGAAAGCAACCAGCGACTTCTCTCGGGATGTATACCTACAAGTGTAGAACACTCACAGGAGAAGAATCCATTGAACGTCTAATATCAGTGTGATCCTAGATTATCCTTGACGTGCATACTCTTTGTGAAACGTGAAGAAGAATGGAATTAGACAATAGATGAATGGTTGCATAATCAAGTTAAGAGAAGGGACGCGATAAATGTCAGTTGGCCTTCCTGATTAACGCGCAGTTATCATCAAGAGTCACCTCCTTTCAGCTGAAGTAATCAGTG